ATCTATCTATCTATCTATCTATCTATCTATCTATCTATCTATCTATCTATCTATCTATCTATCTGCCTATCTATCTGTCTATCTATCACAACTTTTTGACTTCTCACTTCCGCCATTTGAGTGCCAGGATAAAACATTGAACTGGTAACTGGGAAGTTACTTCATGTTTGCCATACAGGATGCCATAATCAGATAAAAGTAATCCAAAGCTCAGCATTTCTGCTAAAGGTAGAGAGAACTAAGAAACATCTTAATTTTTTTTTTTGCTGGATTTACAATCCATTCCCAGGTTTGCAAATTATGGAGAAGGACTGGAGAACATGCTTAATGGAGGCTTTGCTAAGTGTGAAACATATTGTGGTACAAAACGATATTAAGTTAGGAGCCTTGATTATCAGACTTCATTACAAAAAATGAAATTGCTAACATTTGTGACTGAACACAAGTCACAGCAGGGGGGGAAATATCCTAATGAATGCATACCTGAAAACATCTTTAAGCTGTTTTTTTTTTTTATATGAACCCATTCTAATTTAAATGTGCATATATTTCCATAAAAATTACACTGCTTTTAACTGTGCAGATTTCTTCACACAACCTCAGCAGACCTTTCCTTCCCCCATTACCCTCAGCAATGCACCCAGTTGTTAGAGCAGAATTACAAAGGGGAAAGGGTTAGCAGATGTGCTGAGCTTGGAAATACTTTTATCTGCAGCATGGAAGGGATTCCGATGTATATGATGGAGACATTCAATGGGCCTTCCAGAACAGATGAGATTCTCTCATAGTAATGAAAGACCGCTTGCTTTTGTTCCCTTTCCCCAAATTTAGATTTACAAGTGGACAATTAAAAGACTGAAGTATCAATAGAACTGCCACTCATAATCAAGAAAAACAAAAAAGCAAGTGTTACTTCAAGGCTGCCTCCTTGAATTTACAGTTGGCAAAGGCTTTCTCATCCAAAGTTTAGATAACAAGCCAAAGCAGTTTAAATCCATTCTGCTCAAACAGAAGTTAATGCAGTGGCTACATGAAACCCTCAGTGAGTTACTACTGTCCATGTCTAAGATGCTTGGAAGGGGCAACACCTCCATGTCACCAATTCATTCTCTCATTCTGGTGATCCAGGAGGCCACATTTGGTAACTACTTCCCAGGTTTTTAAAGATACAGAGATTGTACTTGGCAATTGTATAGGGCACCATCCTACCAAATGTTGAAAATAACAGGCAAAGGCTGGGAACTTTTGCAATGTACATTTGAAAAAATAAATGCCAGAGAAAGTTCACACCTGATGTTAAAATGTTTTCCAACCTGTTGGGAAAATATTATCCCACTGGAAAGCTACAGCTAAATGATAAAAATCACAATGAACGGAAGTATGTGCATCTTCTATAGATTTTGGTAGGACTGAGTTAAGTATATATGTTTAAAAGTCTTCCCCATCAGACTTAGAAAAACTTTCACTGATAGTTGTTTGTGGATGCTTCTCAAGAGCTTCTGTTAGAGAAAGCATGGTTAAAAAAAGTTAGACTAAAAACAGTTGTGTTTGTGGCATTAAAAAACTATGAGAAGAGAGATATTTTCATTCCATATTGTTACTGAAAAGGATATGTACTACAAATAAGTTAATATTAACATAAGAAAATTGCCACGGTTTTTAATGTTGATTTTGTATTATTGTATTTCTCTCAGTTTAAAATCACTTTTGTGGTAGCTGCGCCTTTTGAAATTTGCCACCATAAAACCATTCTCATTTACACATTAATTGCTATGGTACAAATTATTGCTCATCCCCCCCCCCCCGCAAAAAAAACACCAGTTGTAGGTTGTAGAAATAAAAGTCTCCACATCAGCACCTGCCTATTTGTATTCATTTTCCCCAACTACTTGGAGAATGGTATTGCTTTATATTTTAAATCATGCATATGTGTTTGTCTATATGTGCATAGTCTACAAGTTGCCAATCATTGGAAAACCTGCTTTAATTACATGTCTCCAGAAGTTGGAGAATGTTCAGGTCAAGCTAGAATCTAATTTGATCCTAATTATTTGTCCAATTTGTCTTAATTGTGGATTAATCATGGGATTTAATGGTGATATATTCAGACAAAAATCTCAAATCTTTGTGATTCTCTCAACTACCCAGATTTTAGTGGGAGAGTGGGAAAGACCCAGAGGATATAAAAGTCAGCATACTATATGTCCCTCATTGATAATAAAACTTGTCAATTTCTTATTGGGAAAAGAAACCCCAGAAACCAAACATGTACATGAACAATTGCTTTGATTAATCTTCCTTCTGCAATAAAAGCTGCATAAATACAGATATTATTCATACCCCATATTTATTAATCAAATGTATGCATTAATCAAATGTATGCATTAATCAAATTTATGTATTAATCAAATTTATGTATTAATCAAATTTATTTAGCTGCCCATCTCAAAAGTGACTTTGGGCAGTGTACAATAGTCAGTAAAAAAGAATACATATATAAAAACACACACTAAAAATAGAAAAATCAAAATTAAAAATGGAGATGATTAAAACTAAAAATATGTGAAGAGGGAGGGTGAGTATATCTAGGTACCTCAATAATGGACCCAACTAAACAATCTATGATTCCTGGGACCCTTGATAGCCTAACCAGGTCTTGAGGGGACGTCCAGGACATTAAAAGGGATGGAGCCCATCTAATGTCTGGTGCCATAGCAAAGAAGGTCCACCATCTGGGACCCATCAAAACAAGGTCCTTGACAGATGATATCTGCACCATGTCTCTCTTCTGGATCTAATGGGATAGCAATAGCACTTAGACTTATATACAGCTTCACGGTGCTTTACAATCCTCTCAAAGCAATTTACAGAGTCAGCCTCTTGCCCCCCAACAATCTGGGTGCTCATTTTACCCACCTCGGAAGGATGGAAGGATGGGTCAACCTTGAGCCTGGTGAGATTTGAACTGCCAAATTGTAGTTAGCCGGCAGTCAGCAGAACTGCATTCAAATCACTGCGCCACCTCGGGATGATACAGTCTGAGGGAGGCGTCCCTCAGATGACACAGTCTTGTCCATGAAGGACTTTAACAGTTAAAATCAGCACCTTGAATTGGACCTAGAAGCAAACTGGCAACTCATGGGGCTTGTAGAGCAGAGGTATAATATATACTAGGAGCACACGTAACTGCCCGCACTGCTGCGTTCTGTACTGGTTAAAGCTTCTGAATACTCTCCAAGGGCTCCTATTTAAGCATCATTGTAGCACCAATAGGAAATGCTGATTGGCACATTCTCACCTTGAAACTCTAGCAGTTCTTTCCATGATTTAGTTAATATCTGTATTAAGCTGTCACTGCAATACAAACAGAGAGCAGACAGCGGAATCCTTTCTACAACATTAGTACTTACACAGCTGCCTGCGAGGATCTCTGCAAACAGTGGGATGGAACCATCTTTCTGAGTGAATTTATCTCTGACAAAGTCATTGACCTAATTAAAAAAAACATACATTTTATACTGTTACACCGCTTTCCATAGTTTTCACTTTCAATTTAATACATTAAGATGACCTGAAAATCAAAAGCAATTCCTTTTAAAGATAGATTACAATATTTGGGGACTATGTGCATGTGTATTGCAGAGGTGTAAACCCCAATTAATTAAATTTCTGAATGAATGCATATATGTAGCATAAATCTTTCTAAAAAAAAGGGGGAAAGGAATTTGTTTGCTCTTTAACAGACTTACTGTAAGCTTTATGGCTTTTTCTGGAGCAACACCAATGAGCTGTGGAAGTAACCCTGTATAAATAAAAAAAGATTTATCACAATCATTGTACCTAGACACACATACACAGCACAAATGTTTGGGTTTTCAATTAATCCATTCACTTCCATATGAAGAACTTCCATGGACAATTATCTTCACAAATATGTTGACATAACTTTTTTTAAGAAAAAATTCTCACTGTACTACATCTGGCAAGTCTGTTGTTTGTAGGTAGGCAGTCTGATGATGTATCAGTTCCTGCTGAAATCAACTACACTTCCTTCCCCCCAGGATTTCCAAACTCTTCTTGCAACATATTCTCCACATACATTACAATCCTCTTTTCAACAGAAAAAGACTCCTTGTTAATTTGATCAATTGGCAATCAATCTTTTGGAGACTTCATTCATTCCCATCAAATTATGACCTTTTTTTTTTTTACTTGGAAATAAACAACAAAAGTCCTCTCATGTTACTAATTTACCAAATAACAATGGTGGGGCTTGAATTCCGGGAACCAGAAGTCATTATACAATCCCTGGTATCCCTTTGCTACCCTGAACAATGGGGGTGGGAGGATTAGGAAAGCTCCAAACCAGCAAAGATCTGCTCACATGAAATTATTTTGTCCAATTTGGGACAATTCCTTCTTTCTACCGTAATCTTCCCCAGCCTCTTCTACTACTAAGGAGATCGGTCCACTGAGCCACTCAAGGTTTTGCAGATACTGTGACCATGTAGTAAACAGGAAGAGACGGGAAGCATCTTCCATGAGGAAAACCTATTAGGTTTTTGAGACGCTGCATGTTTGCTACAGTAGCCTTTCAGACCAATACAATATATTAAAAGGTAGAAGGTTTTCATGAGTTCAAGTCATCATTTGAGAGGGCATCTGAAAAATTGCCTTTTAATAAAATGGGTTAGTCTAAAAAGGTAGGACCAGATTCCATTCAATTATTTTGGCTACCAGAGACTAACATTCTACAATGTGCACTTTACAAAAAAGTAACTGTTTACAAGAGGACACCAGGTTAAAGGGAAAAAAATATATGTTACTCATGTTCCCCCCCCTCACAAATCAGTTTCTATAGTTATTTGGTGATGAGGATGTATCCTAATGATAAAGCAGCTCAGTGTTTTGCAATCTTTGCCAAAGGCCCAATCCCATTAAAATAGGTGTGATTGCTCCATTTCAATGATGCCCTTCAAATCCCCTGCAGACAAATTTGAAACCCGCCCATAGCTTCCTTACCTCTGTAAAGGCCAAAAAAACCCTCATAGCGCAAAACCTTCTTAAAACAATCGAAACTGTTTTTGTACATCAGCTCTCCTACCACCGAGCCAGTGGAGCGCTGGTTCTGCATGCGAGTCTTTACCAAGTCAATAGGATACACAGCGGTAGCTCCCACAGCTGAGAAGGACAAGCAAACAAGGACATCAACTTGATATTCTGATTTCTCATTGTGCACACCCACAAAAATAGGTCCTAGCCAGTGTTGAAATTCAATTTTTTTTACTACTGGTTCTGTGGGCATGGCTTGGTGGGCGTGGCAGGGGAAGGTTACTGCAAAATCTCCATTCCACCCCATTCTGGGGCCAGCCAGAGGTGGTATCTGCCCGTTCTCCAAACTCCTCAAAATTTCCACTACCGGTTCTCCAGAACCTGTCAGAACCTGCTGATATTCACCTACGACCTTAGGTGACTGTAATCATGCCAGCCTTTCTCCTTTCTCCACCTAGTGTCTAGTTCTTTAATACTACAAATCCCATCACCCCAGACATCTCTGGAGAGCACCAAGTTATGGGAAGTTCTTCTGAAGCAAGAAGGAAACCCAAGGAGGGAAAAGCAAGGAAGGTTTAGGAGAGTAGAAAGTGAAATGGCTGTTTCTGAAATCTGCTTCTGAACTATAACCCTAAACAGTTTAGATTCAGGGTAAATATTCACATTTTCTATTTCATGTTGCTTCTGAGATCTGGCATTAAAATGAGGTTCAGGTGCCATATCTCAGACCAAATTAAACCTGTGGCATGGCCGAGGAATGAACTTGCTTCAATCTTCTAATTTTGTATGGAGACATTTCTATTTTGGGGGGAAATTCTCAGGTCACATGGAAGTCATTTGATATTAATATTATATGGATCCCCTTTTTCTTTCTATTTCTGTTTTTTCCCCTTAGTTTTTTTTTAAATCACTGTAATGCATATATTTGCTACCCTTAATGAGTTTTGATTGTTTGCTTTTACTAACACAAATATAAAAGGAAAAAGTGGGAGGGAACAGCAGATGGAAACTCTGGCTTTACTTGCTGAAGAAAGATAGGTCTTTGACCGCATTTCTCATTTTCTAACAAATTAGAGAGCCAGTTTGGCATAATAGTTAAGACATCAGTCTAGAAACCAGGAGACCATCAGTTCTACTCCCATCCTAGGCACAAAGCCAACTGGCTGACCTTGGGCCAATCACTGTCTCCCAATGAGGCGATGGCAAACCACTTCCGAAGAAAAAACTTGCCAACAAAACTGCAGGCATTCTCTGAGAGTCAGATATGTTTGAACTGAAGGCAAAGTTTAAGAGGTGATTGCCTTTGTACTTTTTGAACAAGTACCCCAAATCTGGAACGTCTTGTCACTGGAGGTGAGATCCACAATTACCCTTTCGGCCTTCAGGAGAGCCCTTAAAACCTGGCTTCCAAGATGGCTTGGGACCCCAACTGAGGATGTTTTTTTGCTGGAGGGGATTGTTGAGTGATAGATAAAAGTCCTTGCCCGTACTATTCATGTTTTTGATGTTTAATTTTAATTTACTTGTTGTTAATTTTAATACTTTTATATTTATGATTTTTATGACTCTGCAATAGTGGTGGTTTCAATTTATTTTACTACCAGTTTGCTTTCTCGTGCTCGCGCAACATTTCTGCGCATGCATAGAAGTGTCCAGCCAGGTGGGCGGAGCCTTCTGCTGCCACCACTACCGGTTCACCCGATCTGGGGTGAACCGGCAGAAACCCGCCTCTGCTTTGTAAGTCACTCAGAATCACTGCAGATAGTGAGATGGGTGGCATATAAGATAAATGAATGAATGAATGAATGAATGAATGAATGGATGGATGGATGGATGGATGGATGGATGGATGGATGAATAATTCTTTTTGAAGATTTGGGGCCTCCACATGTGGCTTTTGTACCTATAATGGGGATTGAAATGATGCCACTAAGTTCCTAGGATGTCGTCAGGCTTCCACATTTCTTCTTAGATGTGTCAATTTACTTTCTCTGCAGCATTAAATCTGGAGGAGCCATCAGAGTATTAATTAATTAATTTGTTCCCAAATTAATTTTCAAATTAAGTGACCATTTCTCCCCAGCCCTTGCTGTAACAACAACAAACACAGCAAAATGACTCTGAAACTGCACCTGAGAAGATTCCTCACGTCATTCCTCAAGTTTGGCTTCAAAAATAGTCAGGAGCCAGATCTACTAAAGCCACAGTCTTCAATTATTATTTTTTTAAATTTTATAGATAGATAGATAGATAGATAGATAGATAGATAGATAGATAGATAGATAGATAGATAGATAGATAGATAGAGATAGAGATAGAG